ATCATTAACATTAACATTCAGTTCGACGGCAGAATCTTCAGAAGCTTTTGTGAAGAATACAAGATAGAGTTCTACAATTCCACACCGGCGTATCCTCAAGCTAATGGGCAGGCTGAAGCCTCAAATAAAGTTGTCTTGGATGGACTAAAGAAAAGGCTAGAGAAAGCAAAAGGCAAATGGGCGGAGGAACTTCCTCATGTTTTATGGGCTTACCGCACCACACCTCGGCGATCAACAGGAGAAACACCATTCTCCTTAGCCTACGGAATGAAAGCAGTAATCCCACTAGAAGTTGGCCTCCCCACAATTCGAAGCGAGAATTTTGATCCTGACTTGAATGGAGAAGCCATAACCTTAGAACTCGACCTTGCAGAAGAAAGAAGAGAAAGAGCGCTAGTCCACATCGCCTCATACCAACGAGAATTAATCAGAAAGTACAGCAAAAAGGTGCATCCAAGACAATTCAAGATTGGGGATTGGGTACTACGCAAAGTAATGGGAAACACCTTGATCCCAGGAGACGGCAAGTTAGGCCCAAATTGGGAAGGTCCTTATAAGGTGGTTGGGTTAGCAGGCAAAGGGGCATACCACCTAGAAGACAAGGATGGCAAGGCAATCCCTAGGCCATGGAATACGGCCAATCTCAAGTTATTTTACTTTTAGCTTTTCTTTTCCAAACATATGTACTTTTCTCTTCCTTCAATAAAATGAGAAATTCTTTTTAGCACGAATTATTCTTTGTAAAAGTTAGCTTGAAAGACTCAGTATATTGCAAGCATTCTATTATAAGTTAGCTGGAAAAACTAACTTCAATAGTTGGCTGGAATAAACCAACACTTGTTACTCTTCAGCCGAAGTAAGTGTATGGCTAAAGAGTGGTTGGCTGGAATAAACCAATTCTTGTTACTCTTCAGCCGAAGTAAGTGCATGGCTGAAGAGTAGTTGGCTGGAATGAACCAACACTTTGTACTCCTCAGCCGAAGTGATTATATCGGCTAAGGAGTGGTTGGCTAGTAAGCATATTTTAACTAGCCAAAACCGAAATAACAATTGAAGTAATAGAAGACATTACAAAATACAGGCATACATATCACAACCGAAATAAGAGTTGCGTAAAATTTTCATTGCAAGAAAGGTCATTACAAAGGGGCTTAGTTCGGTTACAAAGAAAAGAGTACAAAATTAAGAGAAAAGTTCATCTATTTCAGCATCAAAGGCCGCATCACCATCAACTTGAAAACCGGTTTCAAGGGGAAGATCACGCTCGGTCGCCGGGTTGGTTTCGGTTGGGACCACGGTGTCACTTGGTTGGTCAATAGGTGGGTCCTCTACCATGGGCTCCAACCGAAGTGATGGGCTTGCACCAACAACCGGAATGTTTTCAGGAGCAGAGGAGTCATCAGTGTCTGAGTCCTCTAGGAACTCCTGTTGCAAGGCGTCTGCATACGCCGCAAGGGACTTCGGTATAAAGTACGCTGGAGGGTCGAAGACCTCGGTCTGTTGATCATGACCGAGCTTCTCCACAGCCGCCCTCCAGCCGCACTTGAAGAAAAGCTCCTTGGCGGCGTCGCATTGTTTGACATAAGCCTCCTCTGCCTCCTTGTAACCTCGCTTGTACCCCTCCTTTTCGGCCGCCTCCATGTTCTTTTTTAGTTCGCTTATTTCGGCGTCTTTTCTCTTCTCAAGCTTCAACAACTCCCGCAGATACTTGTCCTTCATAACGATGGCGGCTTTCTGCTTCTCCGCTTCAGCCGAGTTAACCAGATCGGCAAGCCGGCCGTTCTCAGCTTGCATCTCGGCCATTTTCTTTTCCGCTTCTACTAGTTCGGCCGCCTTTGCCTCGGCTTCCGCCATTGCTTTCCTTGTAGTTTTTCTTAGTTCTTGAACTTTCTTGTATGTAATATTGTTCTTTTGTAAGGCCTGGCAAAAACAAAATTTCTTTTCAGCCGAAGTAAAAATTGGAAAAATTTAGACAGAAAAAACAGGCAGCTACTTACCAAGATCATGGACTTGGAAGCAGACCGAATTGACTTCATTTCGGTGTTCAGTTGCTTCAAGTGGTGCTCCATGTCCTTGGGAAGGCACACACTTTTGGCCAGGTTAAAGGCCAGTTGGTGGTCTTTTTCAGCCAATTTTCTCTTCCTTCAATAAAATGAGAAATTCTTTTTAGCACGAGTTACTCTTTGTAGAAAGTTAGCTTTCAAGACTCAAGTATATTGCAAGCATTCTATTCTAAGTTAGCTGGAAAAACTAACTTAGAGGTTGGCTGGATTAAACCAACACTTGTTACTCTTCAGCCGAAGTAAG